CGGAGGGTTCGCCTGTCACTGCCATCCAAATGGTCAGGTCCATGATCACTAAAGAAACTCGAAAGAAAAATTTTCGCTGAAACCTCTTAAACAGGTGTAATCAATGGCCCTGATCACGATTTTGACAATTATTTATGACGCCGACGTGATCTGGGACCAGCGTGGCGCTAAAAGGCCACTGCGAGCGCGAAAAGATGCTGCATAAACCCCTAAAGAAATTGCAGTGTACCTCACTGTATGCCAAGGGAGGCACTTGTTTTCGACCTTATTCAATGGCATTTAGCAAAAATGAAACCCATTTGTGTGGTCCTTGTATGGACCCCTACAACATGCACAAAATGGACCCCTACAACATGCAACAAATCGTTTTGAAAAAGCTCACCACCGCCTGAACGACCTCCCTTGTAAGCCTGTAAGCGAAGTTCAGGGTTATACAGGATATCATCACAAGCAGGAAGGCCACATCAGCAGTTTGAGCATAGGGAACACTGATGCAAGGCAGCTCGACATCCCCGAAATACCCCTGGACACAGTTGTCGACAATCGTTTACAAGGAATACCCAGAAACCAATGTTCATGAATCAGTTCAAAAGGTCGCCGGAAAAGTGGGTTCGCAGGGCCTGGTTTTCCAAAGGCTGAGTGGGACAGCTTCATTCGCGGGGGGAGGCTTCTAAAGGCTACAGTGGGTCACGGCGGGCGGATGGTCAAAGGACGCGGGAACAACAGATCGATGGGCAGCGGCGCGATCTGGCTGGTCCCACTGCCACCGTAGATCGCGCGGGAGGGGTGTTATAAAAGCGCTCGGAACGCAGTTGAGATGGTTCGTCTACTGATTCCTCCAGCCTGCCACCCCTCCCTCTTGTTCCAGGACACGCCACGCTGCTCACAACTCTCCCCCTTCTCTTCTAACGTACTATTCCTAGTTCTAACACATTTTATTCGTTACGTTCTAATAAACTATTGTGTTGTCGGGGACGCTTGGAAGAAACTAGGGAAGTACTTCAGGGAAAGAAGAAGCGACTGAGCGACAGGATAATTGAAGAGGTCCTTATGAGGAGGTTCCCCTAGGAGCGATAATTCATTACCTGCCACATCAAGCTGTCATTACGCCAGCCAGAGAAACTACAAAAATGCGAAAAGTCTTCGACGCGTCCCCCTAATAAGCATAATAATACGCCAGCCAGTGAAGACTATACAAAAATTGCGGAAACTCTTCGATGCGTTCGCACTAATAACATAATAATATAAATATATAAATATATAAATATAATATATAATAAAATAATAATAAAATAAATAATAAATAAATAAATAAATATATATATATATATATATATATATATATGATATAAATATATAAGGGCAAGCGCCTGCCTCAATGAAGCTTCACATCAGGGCCCCCTGCCTATTCGGATATGGTACGATGATTGCTTCAGATTTCAAGGCCGCATACTCGAACCGTGAAAAAAGCTTTTCTGCAAGTGCGCCTGCAGGAGATGGACAAAGAGGCAGCTCGGTGTATGTGTGCACGAGACGTCAGTCTTCCACCAGACCCGAATAATGCGACCTATCTACCGGGATATGCGACTCACCTTTGCCCTCAATACGTCGCCATTCCGCTTGAATAATATGACGTCTTCAAGTGATATGACGAAAGATATCAAATGGAACCTCTATGTGGATAACTTAGTCTTGGGCGCCACGTCATCAGAAGAACCACTGAACACGTACCACATAGCGAAGGTCATCTTCAGAGGTCTCAACATAAACTTGAGATAATTCCTTTCGAACGGTGACCATTTCAACAGAGCGATCAATGGAGAAGATCGCACAAAATCCGCTCAGCCCAAAGTCCCAGGAGTACAATGGATCCTAAGAGGGACACAGCAGTTCTCAAAGGTGTTGTGACCGCAAGTCAAGCGGGGACCAAACGAACAGTGTCACGACATTTAGCTTCCGTATATGACTCTCTGTGGTTCCTTTCCTGTGCTGTTGCCAGCAAAGGTCTTCTTACAGTTTCTCTGGAGGGTAAGCATGGATGGGTTGTTTCACTTGCACCAAACCTAAAGGAACAGTGGCGTATAACTGCTAGTGATATCTCAACTTTCCATAAAGAAATAGACAGAAGAATCGTCTAGACAGAAGAATCGTCCCCGATGTGTACACACTATGTTCATCTTCGCGGACGCCAATCAATTCGCATTAGCTGCATGTGTCTATACTGGCACCAGCGACGGCGCTAAACTTGTTATGGCTAAGTCGAAACTACCATCGTTGAAAACAGCCATTACGTTCTCCAAATTAAAAATGGATGCGCTAAATCTGGGAGCTCGATTGGCACAATTCGTCTACGATTCTTTGTGCTGCATGCAGAAAATACGCCAAGTCATACTTCACACCGATTCCGAGATTGATCTGGGTTGGCTCAAATCTTCACCCGACCGCCAAACAATAGCTCTTGTTAGTAGGCTTCTGAAGGAGGTCAGAGCCATGGCACACGACATCAAGATTCGTGGAAAGAACTGTCTTTTCGGATATGTTTCGACAAAATCGTACCCGACAAACTGCGCCACTAGAATGCTGTCAACCAATTATTGTCAAGATGACGTTTGGTGGAAGATCCCGTTCTTTATCCAAGACTTATTGATGCAACAAGAAGAGCTCCGTAAGCTATTCCCAATTAGCAGTGCTAGGGAGAAGAAATGGTATGCCTTCTGCCTCAACTACAGTAGGCTCACTGCTTTCGCGGAAGGAGTGGGAAATAGATTAGGAAACACTCTCTCCCCTATTCGTCACTGCTTACTCCATAAAGCAGAACGATTGTCGCCCACGTCTTCAGATTCATCAGAAAAACATTAACGCAGTTTCCTACTGTTCGACAACTGGCAATTTTCAAGAGGACGCCAGCCCTCCGAGCAGCATCTTCGAAGCACGAGCTGACAAGAAAAGAGGCGAATAAATACATCATAAGAGACCGCCAGAAGACGATGTTGACGAGCAGTGCATTAAATCCTAGAAAGACCTCAATATCAAGCTCGATCGAGGAGGCATACCTAGGTGCTGCGGTCGTCTGAAATATGCGGACATTCTAGATCCCGCATCTATACCCATTTACATCGCACCAAAAACGGCCTTAGCGCACCAGATCATTGGAGACGCTCATGAATACCATCGAGAAGTCTCACATACCACGTCAACGATTACAAAAACTTTTTGGATACCGAAACTTCGCCACCAAGTAAAACAAATCACAAGACGATTTCGGCTTGCTAGAAATTCAACTGCCATATCGGTACCCAGATATGAAGGATCTCCCCGAGAGACGAACTCAGAGAACGCGACACTTTGAACGAATAGGACTCGACTACTTCGGTCCGCTCACCAGATCGACAGCAGAAGACTCAGAAAAGGTATACGAGTGCATACTCACCTGTGCAACAACGCGGTTGATTCACCTTAAACTCGTGGAGGACATGAGCACAGAAAAATTTGTGCGCTACGACGCTTCTTTGCCAGAAAGGGAGTGCCAAGAACGAACACCTGCGACAATGTGCCCACATTCATTCTTGGCGAACAGATACTGCACGACGCTGTGGAGCGCATGATAGTGGACATGCAAACATGCAGAGCCCCAGCGAAGCGAGGAGTTGTGTGGATTCACACCACCCCGTTCACTGTGGCAGATTCTACGAGAGTTTGATACCGTCCATCAAATTGCCGCTATATATAGCACTAGGGAAGTAGAAGGTTTCCTTCGATGAACTCAGAACGATGCTCATCGAAATCGAGGCACTATCGAACTCGAGACCACTAACCTACCAAGAACAACCGCCAGCACGACCGATTGATTTCCTTGAGAAAGGCATAGCATTTTATTTCCCACTGGAATATGTTGGTTACGACAGCCCTGATCCAGTTTATCATACCCCAGATCATACCGAGGCGCGACAACTAGCCACTAAGTTCCAGCATGAAAAGGCTCTCAAGTCGTCCCAAAATTTGACAGCAGGAGATCCTGGAGGATACGGAACAAGGAATACCTCGCAAACCTGAGAGAACATCACAGAACGCGCATGGATGGCAGAAGGGGAAGCAGCATCACAAGACGGCACTGTGGTATTACTTTGGGAGCCAACGCAGCGGAGGAATGGATGGATCATCGGCCGCATCGTGCAGTTACGGCAGGATTCAGAAAGCTTCGTAGGAGAAGTATTAATGGAGTTCGAATGAACATCGCGTTATGAGGCCAGTGAACAGAGTAATCACCTTGGAAGTGGATCTCGCGGTAGAGTCTACACCTTCAGAGAACTCGGATCAACTTAGCCAGATGGAGCGAACATTGAAAGAAGAGACACCAGGCTCCGAAGCGCAGAGAGCACCTCTCGCAGACAACCTGCGTCGGTGCGGTACAACTTCCGCAAAAGGAAGCAAGTCGAGTTTGGCAACAGTGAGGATAATAGCGGAACACAGTTGCCCATCCATGATGAACATCGCGAGGACCTTTATCTTGGATTTTTTCACCGCTACTCCTATGGACTCCTGGTGGCATAGCTGTCGCTAACCCCTGCAAAAACCACCACATCCAGTGCACAGAAGGCGGTGTTCAGCTTACTCAATATCAGAATGCCCCATACGACGTGCGCGCTGAAACCATGGCCTGTCCTTTGCCGCTCTCCCAACCGAAGTCATCAAATACCTCCCCGAGTAACCCCGCACGACTACGTCGTTAAATGGAAAATAGCGAATGGTCAGAAAATGGACATCATCGAAGTTCTATGTCAACCTCACCATTCTGCTCCAGCATCGACCTCACATTATGCGTGATCAACATTGTAAATCCGCAGTGCTGCCCGAGAGCGGCACTCGCAGGAGTAGGACTGGCAAATTATCTGTCGCTCTTTGCTGTGCCGCTTATATTCGGGAAACCATTGCTGAAGCTAGCACAGGTTCCTGGAGTACTGTGTTTAGCCGTTGTGAAGTTCTCTATAAAGATCCCATGAAACCTCATTCGATGTCTCTTCAGATGACTACGTCCAAATAGAAGACGCCGAATCTGGTCGGAACTGGCCATTTTTCTTCTGACTGTGAAAGCATCGTGGGGATGCCAGGACGTCAACTCTTCTAACAGAATACGCACTCCTGCCATCACACGAAACACTCAACAACCTGCTCGGTGGGCACAACATAAGTAGTGAGGACGAACAATTCAAAAGGGAAACCTGCCTGCGAATGACAGCCAATGATACAACAGTATTCGAAGCTCGCCTACTCTGAAAACACCTTCAGCTCTTCTATGAGAAGGAAATCATACTGTACACGAGGAGCACAAGTTACGGTTTACTCGATAGCAATCGATTTCCATATCTTGGCTCTTGCAAGGGAGAAAAACGTGCGGCAAACAATCGTTTGTCTCTGGCTATGGAGAAACAGAAGGCCAATGAATTTCCTGGAGTTACAGGATGTGTAAAGAGCTGCGGCGGACTAGGATGCGTCTGCCACGCCTCAAGTTCAGGATGTCTGTTCTACAGAATCTACGGACAGCTGATGGCAAAGATACCACAACTTCCAACTGCTAGCAAAGATACCACAACTTCCAACTGCTAAATTTATATACAAGATCCAAGGAAAATCCGAACTACGTTGCTCATCTCGGCGGCAACGTATACCATCACGCCCATTGCCAAGTATGCTATAGATGCGCAATGGGAGCTGAAGCAGCAGTGATCTGCAAATCATCAACCTCCCAAGAGTTGGCCAAAATTCAATGTGGAGAATATGCGTTCACAGTTCCTCGTACGGAAAAAGCCTCGACGTCAAGATTCCGCTCCTATTCGGATACAGCGCACGTCCACGTCAACTGCACCGCACACTGCAGTTAACGGAGACATCGTTCGAAATCGCTGGGATTTTCCAATACACGGGAAGCATCAGTATGACAGGACCACTTCTGATTAAAGGAAAAAGCGAGATCTTTGCGGAATTCAACCTACCCGACTTGGGTCATATGATAGTCGTGTTTCTACAATGGACGGGAACGCTACTTCTAACAGTACTAACGTTGATACCAGCAGTAATACCTACCTACGTATGCGTTTCTGACAGACTTTTTCTCGGCCTTGTCAAAAGTAATCTTCGTTTTCAGCTGAAGATTGTTTGCATGTTCCTCTGCTTGCTTACTCTAATACTGTGCATGCCCTTCAAATTACTTCTCAGGCACAATGAGAGAGTAAAAACCTGAACAAAAGAATCTCTAAAGAAATAAATGAAATGCACAATGGGAGGTTCAAGAGCGAAAGTAACCAAACTTTCAACCAGAGCGATCCAACCTTCTTGATCGTATGAAGAGGGCATGCTGTTCTTCAGCAGGCTTTCTTCCTACGATCAAGAACGTTGCCTTCGCAAGGAACTGAAGCTAAAAACCGAAATCGTCGAGTCTGGGCATGGTACATTATCAGATGATGGCCTTCGACACCTCACTGCGCAGAAAGAAAAGGAAGCAGTAGATCAAGCGAGAGTGCAGGCCCGTCACACGGAAGTACACGAGGAGAACAACGGGATATTTACGTCTTGTAGTAGAATAGCTTCGGGACGAAGTTCATGGACAGATGGACCATCTGCGAAAGTGTGAAAGAGCGTATGGATGCCGTGGAAAGTGCCTTGGCTAGACGTACGGTACGGATACTTGAGAGTATTAACGAAAAGCATTCCGTGTGCTGCCAAAAACAAAAACAGCATAGTATAGCATTTTCGATTTGGGGAAGGAAAGGAGCTGAGAAGTAAGATTTGCGGCTCAGGGACGACACACGCAGAAGCCCGACACAGAAGCAAAGAGAAACGAGACGAGGATGACAACAGGAGGGAGGAATACGAAAATTATCTGAGGTATTATTAAGTGGAAAGAGAAAAAATCGACGACTTCATCGAAAAAAATAGCGCGCGAGAAAGGTAATTCGGGGAAAAAAGAAACGATGAGAAAAAGGGAAGGCTGCATGATGTGCATATAGTGTATGGAAATCGAAAACCACTACTTTGCTGCCTGCCCCAGGATACGCACTGCAAGAGAACTTCTCCTTCTCAAAACCGTTGCTTCATATGCTTGTAACATGAAGGAGAATGCGGCGAAGTTGGGAATTGTTTCTATTGCAAGAACAGCAGACAGCAGTCCACCAGAGAACCGGATCATCATGCCAGCATTCTCATGTAACCCGAAGAATTTGCGATAACACTAAAAAGAAGAAAAGCGGTACGGGCGAACATTCAGCAATCCTTCAGCTCCTGGACGACATGGATGCTCAAAAAGGTCCCTCGTCTGCCGCTGAGATATCAGCGATGCCGCGAGAGCGAGATGAGATAAGGTTGGACAACTGCTCGGAAGATTGGAGATGCGAGCTTAGACCGCTCCTGATGTTGGGCCGGAGAACACTGAATATATAGGGGGTGGCCAATAAAAATAAGACTTCTCTTCCTCGACGTCCAAGGGGATGTAACTTACACTTTGTTAAAATTTGATTGGACATTTCCACCACCACTTATAAGAACACATTGCGCACTATCACGACTCCGCCACAGTCTTCTGGAAGAGCGCCATCAAGAGATTCCGTTACGCGAAAGTCGTTGATTTCTCGGCCACTGGTTCGCTCGAACCCGGTAATCGAGGGGGTTTAGGTCAGATGACCTGCTTAGATATTCCGTCTTCTTCAGGTACGCCTTTCCATTCCGAGTAGGCGAGAGTCCCGACGCCCCCCTATTCCACGTGCTGGCACCCAGTTTTCTGTAGCACTACGAAGTTTGCAAGATGGTACAGACGACGACATGAAGGCAGGATATTCCTCTCGAGTTGGCCGATGTAACCGCCAACCTTCAGTCCGGGTCTACGAAGAAAATTCATTCATCAGTCTCATCCCAAGGACTGCCGGCCCATACCATCAACCCGCGCCTTGGCGACTGCGGTGAAGATATCCTGGACCGTAGCGACGTTGTCGGGGCTCCTCGTCTGGGCTGCGTAAACTTTACTGATATGTGACTCGCCCAAAGTGCCTTTTTTTGCCCCCCCCCCCTGTATATAAAGTATCTTCTCAATTCTAACAGTTGAACTTTGAGAATAAGTGATAATTGTAACTGTTCTCTGATCGTATGTATAATTCTCATGAAATTCCTGAGTTGTTTCTATCAACCGTTATGTTTAACTCTTCCTCGCATTCTTACTCTGCTACACTATGACAACATCGTTGACTCTCGTAAGCTTATCAGATGCGAGTTTTCCTCGCGTCGCAACTTTCCTAAGCAAACCGGGCATGAAAGGGACTAGAGACAGCTTGAAGGTAACCGGTTAGGTGCCTTCCTGTTATTTTCTATTGTTTTCTCAAATTGGATTTCCCTTGCTGTTGTATTGCACTAAAATGTTCTAGAAGCACAATTACGGCATCATAAGTCGTCTTCCCTAGCACTATAAGGCGACAACGAAGGCCTTCCTTCATGGTTCTCTGGATATGAAACAGCTTGACCATTTGCATCGTAGCTCTTCAGGTTTTTCACTACCCGTTCTGAGCACCTAGAGGTCCCTTTTTTTCATGAGTATAGAGACATTTTTGCTTTTTTTGCAAGGGTTTAATATAGCTTGTACTCTTCCGCTCTTACACTTAGGAAGTAATACAGTTAGCTGAGGTGAACCAATAGACGTAATGGTATGAAGGGAATTTGGTTAACTCTAAATTTCCTACGGGAGAATGAGAAAGTTCGAGTGAAATCTTCAATTATCGGGTGAAATCTTCAATTATACCTGCACTGGATTATCCCCGGCCATTTGCACCAGAAATTGTGATGGTAGTACTTATAGCAATAGGTTCATTCAAGGCAGGGTGGCCCAGCTGGTCGACTGTAATGGATCCGCGACGGGATGGTCTCGACAGTACAATGGTAGAATGCTGACTGAATCTCAGCCTGCCTCTCAGTCCAGACGAGGTCACGCACAGAGTATCATATGGAGTACCTAGGGGTCGTAATCACATGTCTGAATGACATCTATGGTTACAAGTATCGATCAGGTGCTCACTAAAGTGTGCATCGGCAGGTTCTGGTGCTAGTTCAAAGCAACTATTGCATATCACACCGCTCCATAGTGAACCCTGCGGAAAAAAATCATTCGGGGGCACTGGAGACAAGGTTTTCCCCAGAAATGAATAAAAAGGTAAATTCACGTGACGCCTTGCAATTGATTCACTGGTAAATTCACGTGACGCCTTGCAATTGATTCACTAACTACTTGACTACTGTCAAGTGGTTAGTGATGTTATCAACAGAGATGGTACGTAGGCGCATGTCTTCATCTAAGGGGGGAGGGGAGAGGGGAGGGGGTATATCACTCACAGGGAATGAGAATCGTCCTGCCGTGGCCATTCACAATGAGATGTATGCTGTTAGATGAGACTTCGAAAGCTGATTTAAAGACACATGGTAACGATCAAACACATTGAGGGCGGTATATGAGACTATCAGCCCCCCAGCTGTCGATGTGTCGTGGTCCCCCCGCCCAAAACTGCACGAGGTCAGAGTACGGGGCCGTGGGAAAGTCGTAATTCCTTGCTACACGCCGCCCTCACGTTTATGCTGACACCATGCGCGGCGCGGTCGCTGCAGCTCTCTTGGCTTTTTGCCAAGTCCTGTGATTGCGCTTTGGAATACAAGCTACAACGCAATTTCTATATGCGGATAACATTTTAGGTGCTGCCAAAATAAGAACGAAAGATGATGACAAGGGCTAGCAACTCAAGAGTAGCTGTGCTGCCTTCTGCAACATCCCTCAGAACCCGCGCATTCCCACAGAACATGACAATAAAAACGGACAACATGACAATAAAACATCATAATACAAGGCAAAACGCAATAGAAGGTGGATGAAGATGACGAGGCTAGAAATGAACAACAACGAATGTAGATGCAAATAAAACAAAATTGAAAAAAAACTAAGGAAATCGCAATAAATTAAAATCGCGTCGTGTGCATTTCGCGATCCGGCTCGAATCCGCTCTAATGCCTATAGAAATACTCCAAGCTAACGAGTGGGACGTTAGGCCGTTCTTATTCTGCGAGGGCTGTTGCAGAAGCAGCACAGTTGCTCTTGAGTTCAGCCCTCGTCATCACGTCAGTTCTTATTTTGCAGTACCTAAAAGTTATAACGCGTAAAGAAATTGCGTTGTACTTGTATTCCAAAGCGCAATTACAGACTTGGCAAAAAGCCGAGAGAGCGCACACGACCAGCGCCGCGCGAACGGCGTTGTAAAAACGTGAATTTGCAAAAACGGGCGGCGTAGCAAGGAATTATGACTTTCCTACGGTCCCGTACTCTGACCCCGTGCAGTTTTCGGCGGGGGGACCACGACACATCGACAGCTGGGGGGCTTATAGTCTCATACACCCTCAATGTGTTTGAACGTACCATGTGTCTTTAAGGTCCGGCCTGCGAATCTGCTAAACGACTTTCTGAACTAAGTTACGAAGGCTTTCTCATCAACATGTCATGGGATCGAAACCTTGCCGAATATAACTTTTCAGATTAGAAAAAAACCACAAAACATGTAAAAAGCCTACTGCCTCGCGGTTCATTG